GGTTGGACCTGAAGGATAACCCCTCACCAGAGCTGAACAACKAAAGAAATCTGAAGTTCCTATGTTTAATAGGTTTTGAGCAATAACCATTTTTTATGTCCATATACCACTTTTTCAGATAAATTGGGGGTCCGGACAGTGGGGGGCACTGATTGGTGGGCCTGATGGATAGAGCTTCATCAGAGCTAAACAATGAAAGAAATCTGAACCTTCTATGTTGAACACTTTCTGAGTTATAAGTGATTTTGCATGTCCGGACACCCCCACTTTGAAAGGAGTCCCCTCCTCAAATATGGGGTATATCGTAAAACCGTTGGCTGGTGCAGTGCAGGTCAGACTCATCTTTAATCCTGCCAGATTTCATGTTGATCGGTGCAGCCGTTTTTGTGGTACGGTTGACCAAAAATCACTGAAAGAAAAGAAAAAAAACTAGATAGCACATAGCGGTAACATAATGACCCCCGCATGCACAAATGCACCAGAACTCAGAAGTCTTTATTCCTAATAAATGTCATGCTACTAGGTGCATCCCAAAATTGTAGTGCTTTGGGTGGGGGTCTTTTTTTTTGGGGTGGGCGTTGAACCTGATGGATAGCCCCTCATCAGAGCTAAATAACCAAAGATATCTGAAGCTCCTGCGTTTAATAGATTTTGAGCTATAACCATTTTTGTACATCCAGATAACCCTTTTTCAGATAAATTGGGGGTCCAGGGGGTGGGGGGCACTGATTGGTGGGCCTGATGGATAGAGCTTCATCAGAGCTAAACAACAAAAGAAATCTGAAGCTCCTATGTTTAATAGTTTATGAGCTATAACCATAACCCTTTTTTCAGATAAACTGGGGGGTCCGGGCAGGGTTGGGGGGGGGGGCACTGACTGGTGGGCCTGATGGATAGAGCTTCATCACAGCTAAAGAACAAAAAAAATCTTAAGCTCCTATGTTGAACAGTTTCTGAGTTATAGGTGATTTTTCCATGTCCTGACACCCTCATTTTGAAAGGAGCCCCCTCCTCAAATATGGGGTCTATCGTAAAACCGTTGGCTGATGCAGTGTAGGTCAGACTCTTCTACAGTCCTGCCAAATTTCATGTTGATCGGTGCAGTCATTTTTGTGGTACGGTTGACCAAATATCACTGAAAAAAATACATAAATAAATAAATAAATAAACAAATAAATTAATTAACAAATAAATAAATTAATTAATGAATTAATTAATTAATACATAAATAAACAGTACGAAAACAATATGACTCCCGCTTACGCTTCGCATGCGGGGGTCAAAATTGGCATGGTCCACTTCATAATAATATATAAGGTCTAGAAGCACCAATTTTTTGTCATTAACAGAAATGGCAATGTCATTATGGACTTTTTAATCCGATCGACTCAGTGCTATGTCAAGATCTAAATTCGGATGGAAAGATTTCACAAAGAGCATGTTTCAAAGTGTTTTTAAAAACTTTTTCTCAGACCTTAGAGTAAAGGGGCAAATGAGAAACAGTCTAGGACTTGATAAAATTGCGGGGGCATGGTGTATTTTGTAAAAATGGGTCTAACCCCAGCATGTCTGAAAGCAACTGCGACAGTTCGTGAATCAAAATTTTAATAAAGTCAAGATGCCATGGCATACAGTGTCAGAAACCTCTTTCGATCTCTTAGGAAGAAAAATGTACATATGACAGTGTACAAACTTCATGTTTAACCAGCTCAAAGTAGCTAGAAAACTGGTTTTTACTGTATGAATCCAGCTGAAGCTACAGCAGCAACAGCGAAGTCAGGAGCAGAATTTGAACCAGTAAGGCCGGCGTCACACCACAAGAAAATCATGCCGATTTTTGCCCTTCCGACAATCTTAAGGAAGTCCAGATTATCGGGATCGCTCTAAAGACAATCATAGCAGATATTCCTGCCATGGGTGGTGAGTTAAGAGTGATCTAGTTGGCTCGGAAGGACGTCGGGACCGCTCCGACCTCAAAT